CTTCCGATTAATTCTAACTCACCTGTGGTCCCGTCAGAGCTATGTGTATTCCAATGGGCGAAAATGCCCTGTAATTCGAACGCACAAGCACTTTCGACGGTTAATTCAAATATACCATGCTTCAAAAATGCTCTCAGCGCCATGCCCAATGCCACGGCGGCACCTCTCAATGCTGCGCGCGAAGAAGGAAAAGAAGAAAAAGAAAGAAAAGACTGTGGTGGGTTGTTTGCTCTTTCTCAAATGCCGATCTGTAACGCGCCTGTGCCACACTTCTTTATTTTCCATCTCTGCAAGTAGAGACCCTTCTCCTTTCAAGGCGGCGCGCAGAGAGAGAGAAAAAAAAAAATCTGTAACGCGCCTGTGCCACACTTCTTTATTTTCCATCTCTGCAAGTAGAGACCCTTCTCCTTTAAAGGCAGGCGCGCAGCAGAGAGAGAAAAAAAAAAGAGAAAGCTGTCGCGGAGAGTTGGCTGGCTTTTCTCCGCGTGGAGACGCTCCTCTTTTCTGGGTGCAGAGGGTAGCAGCGGAGATGCAGTCATTGCCGTTGCAGTCATTGCCGTTGGCGCTGAACTTAGCTGCACGCTACTATGCTTGGCAAACTGCATGCGATATTGAGGCACTGCGCCGTGCTCTCCACCAGGATGCAGAAATTAGGTGCCTTCTTCCTCTTCTAACCACTACCACCACCACCAAAATGATTGACTTGTTGCAAGGCAAACGTGTGCAGATGCACATCACCGATTACTTCAATTAATGACAGATGTCCTCTGATTTGTGAATAAATGCAAGTATTCTGAAGCTTCTCCATCGTGTGTTCTTACGCGAGAGGGAAATCACTTTGCACCGCGGTGCCACTTCTCGGTCATGTGACCCGCTGAGCGCTCCCTCAATCCTCTCCGCTGGCTGTGTGAGGAGGACGGCTCTGTCGGCCGCGCGTGATATGGCTGTAAGGTCGGCGTAAGAGTTTTGAAAGATCCGCGCCGAACGAGCGTCAAACTCCGCAGAAAACGACATACTTAACACACAACGGTCGTTTTTTTTATAGACTATTTGATAGACTAATTTAGTTCGTTATATTCATTTACTGGTCAATTTTACTTCGTTACAACGAGGTTGAAAATGCATAGTTCTCAATGGAGCTCTCAAGGGCAACTTCATTTTCTTCATTATATCCATTATTTCGTTATAACCCATTACGTTATAATGAGGTTTGAGTGTACTTTCGAGATGGAAACAGCGCACAGCAGGCATCGACATACTGGTTTGAAAGGGCTCATCAACACCTTTTGAGCTTGGTCAGAAAATGCTGCCGATCAGTAGAAAAGGCTCCTGATAACACGCAACCCAGCACGCAGCCTGCAATTCGCAATAAATTATCAAAGTCAGCTAAAAACTGCTTTCTCTTGTCTCGAAAAATCGCGGAGGAAGCTAAAAAATCACTCGCAGAAGGCCTCCTATCAGCCATTGGCTGATTTGAACATGACGCACTCAGTCATTACAGGAATTGCCGTGCGAAATTGAGGCTTATCCACGCGTGACGAAACTGAAAAGGTTGCATATTCGAAGAGAAAGAAAAGTGCTCAAGGTCACGAGAAGCGCATTCGCGTATTTTCTTTGCCCATGCCATCGCACCCTGCTTAGCTTTCAGCACTTTCATCGAGACGAGAAAAGAGAGAATGCAAATGCAGCGTGCGACAAATTTTCGTTACTCTTCTCGTACTGCACGGATTCTTAAATCTTTTACAAGGTTGAATTCATGAGGCAATAAGCTCTTCTAGTGAATCCCTTTCATGATTACTTGAAAAAGTGTTTCAGGGACGCTTTAAGAACGAAGGCCGCAAACTTTTGGTCCATTAATGATCAATTATGCCTAGCTACAGCGACAGAAAAGTGGTGCACAGCGTGCTTGGTCTTGCGTTTCGGGGCGCTGAGGCTGCTAGCCGCGGCCACCGCTGCTCCGAGCGGTCACTGTGTGGTGATCTTGGCCACTGCAGATGCATTGAATGCCCATCCGCTGTTTTGAGGAGCCAGGGAATGATATAATTCATCACTTTCATTGAAGCAAATCATGGCCTTATTTGTTTCACATCTCCGCTAGCACGATGGTCTTGCCCGCAATTTTCTTAGCAAAGTTAAGCCTAGCCACGACTTCGAGCAGAAATCTCTGTTGCGATGCCCGTAGAGATGGTGCCCGATGTTTCAAAGTACCTCATGCTTGATAGTGCGGGTTAAGGGTTGTCCTGCAGTGGTCTTTGTCACAAGGTCTAAAGCGCTGATTAGCAGCGAGACGCTATTACAGTGGGTGTGCGATGTGCACGACGAGTGTGGCAGACTATCATAATGTGATGACCTTTGAGTGCGGCTGCTTAAATCTTGACCTGTGAACACAGAACAAGTGTGAAAGCGTCACTGAGCAGCATGATTTCCGATGGTTGTTTTTGAAAAATGCAGCTTTTTGCAGCCTTTCCAACAATTTTCGCTAGCTCGGCGGGCGCGAAATTTTCTTGCAGCACTTCAATGTAGTTTTTAGTGAAGATATTTTGGAAACAGAAAAAGGTCTACATAAACTGAAAATGATTCTTAAAAAATCATTTTTTAAAGCTCCCATTGAGAATAAATCCATTTGACTTGTTATTTTGTCTGGTAATAACAGACCCATTCATAGTTAACATAAAAGTCTGTTGTAACAGTACTTGGATTTTACATACTCCTTTTACAACAACAACAGACCGAAATCCTCTCCATCATAGAGGTCTGCTGTAATGAGGTTATGCTGTACTAAGTTAACCCCCGAAATTAGGGCTTTGCAGACGAATACGTATTTTGTAGCTCCAAAGCAAGCTTTATCTTGTAGGCATTAGACTGTGCTGAACATTGAGTATCCCTTTTGCAGAATGATATGGGCGATAACAATACAAGATCTTTAAAGTTTATTGATTTATATCTGTGGTTTAACATCCCAAAACGACCATATGATTACGAGACGCGGTAGTGGAGGGCTCCGGAAATTTAGATCACCTGGGGTTCATTAATCAGCACCCAAATCTGAACACACAGACATACAGCATTTTCACCTCCATCAAAAATACAGCCGCTGCTGCTGGGATTCGATCCCATGACCTGCGGGTTAGCAGCCGAGTGCGTTAGCCACTAGACCACCGTGGCGGGTAAGATATTTATAAAGAAGTCAGGCCAGCTCCTCTTTCAATTTCATTATGACAGATTCAAAAGCAAATATTTCCTTGGTAGAAACAGAATGCAAACAGGTGGTCATGAGGGTATTGAAACACTATGGCAACATATGAAGGAATATTGCAAGAAGGTCTCATTTTCTGTTAGACACATGTAATGAATCAATAAACAATTAAGTTTAAAAAAGCAGGAGAGATATTACTGTGCTTATATTTGAACAGTAGTGAAATGGTTCTGACCTAAACTGAGAGGAAAAAAAAGTGCAGAAGAATTCAGCCCCTTCAATTGGTAAGAAAAGGGCAATTTTTCATCCGCTTGAATTTTTTTCAATTTAGGTTAGAATCATTACAGAACAGTTCAAAAAAAATATAAAAAAAACATAAGGACCCCTATGGTTTCCTTGACCTCATTGTCTGTTGGCTACACTAGTTGTGACCATAGGTTGGCAAACTCACTTCCCACTAACTCGTACTCAAATCAACCCGGAAGTCTAAGTCTGAGTGAGTCCGGTTGAAGAAATGTTTAGCGAGTCTACCGTAATTACTCGATTCTACCGCACCCTCGATTGTAACGCGTACCCGGTTTCCACGACGAAAAAAAAAAAAAAAACTAAGACATCGATTGCAACTCGCACCCAATTTTCTCGGTTGGCCCGCACGATCACACCACTTGGGAAAACGACTCCTTTCGGGAGCGCCTTCCGTTTAAGTATGAGGTGTGGGGAAAGCTTGTGCCTATCTGACGTGCAACGGAGCATTGTTGTCACTCTAGTTTTACCGTGGCCCGATGTCAGCACGCAAACTTGCTTCACCCCCTTCTTCTCGACGGTTGTGGTGCCAGGCATGTCGTATTAAAAAGGCGTCTGACCGGCATTCCCGGTTTGCCCAAGCAGGTAGCCGTTGTTGTGCCGCAAGTTTAGGACGAACCACTGAAAACTGTGAAGCTTTTCTCCGTACTCCTCCGGCAACTTTCGGCATATACCCATTTGCCTTCGGAGGGAAAAGCCTTTCCTTTTCATAAAGTTTGTTAGCCAGCACCTGCTCACTTTAAACTGTCTCCACATTAGCCCTTTTTCTAAGGATAACTGCATAGCCTGCACTTGGAGCAGTTCTGTCGTCACGGGCCGCTGTGCCGCTCACTGCTTAATCACATACTCGCCGAGCAGCTCTTCAATTTGTGGAAACCGACCCTGCTGTGGTCCGCTGAAGCCTTTGTGTGAATCTTTCCTGTCGACAATATTCTGCTTTTTTTTCCGCCAGTCCCACACGCACGTTTCGGGAAATCTGAACGGCCGCGATGCGGCCCGATTTCCGTCCGTTTCGGCACATGCGATGACTTTTCTTTTAAAAGCAATATTGTAGTGCACTCGTCGAGTTTTTGGAGTCGGCTCTTCCATGCCGTCAATGCTAATGCACTACAAGGCGACGAACTTCTCAACACACGTACGAAGTGCCGCACATGAGAAACACATAGGCAGAAATGTGCGACGCGCTATGCCAACGCACGTAGGGAGCAGCCATTTTAGAAATGCCGATGGCAATAGAATGACCGTATTCACTTTTTTTTTTCGTACTCGATTCTAACACACATGCGATTTATGAACTTGCTTAACCGGGAAAAAAGGTGCGCGTTAGATTCGAGTAATTACGGTAGTCCGAGTGAGTCCAGTGAGAAAAATAATGGTGTCCCAATCTGAGTGAGCCCTAAGCACAAAATATATTGCTTCAGCGAGTCTGAGTGAGCGCCACCTTTCAGTGTAAACCTCTGGTTGCGACAAACAACACGCGTAACACAGCCATTGCCCTTACCTGAAGAGGAGGGCCGAGGCAGGGTACCTGACCGAGGAGCTTCTCTGTGGGGGTGTGGGAGACGGCCTCGTAGGGGCCACCAACTGCAGTAGGCTTTGCAGTCTGGTGAGGTGGCTGGGGAGGGGCACCTCTCTGGGGCAGCTGCGGTGGCGCAGTAGTAGGCAGAGGAGGCGGAGCACTGCTCGGCAAAGGAGGGGGCCCAGTGCTGGGCAAGGGTGGAGGTGCACTGGTTGGCAGGGGAGGCGGCTCTCGTCCTCTTGGCGGAGGCGGGGGGCGCCCAGTGGGTGCCTGGCCACGCGCAGGGGGAGCGGGAGGGACCGCACGAGCCTGGCAGTCATTACAGAAGAGAACCAGGGTGTCAACTGATGCCGACCACAACGTTTACATTTCTGCACACAGTTAAACTATTGTGCAGCAAGTAAAAGTGAAAGAACCTTACCATATAAAACCATAATAACAATTCTTGAGGTGTATCTTTCCAAAACCACCACATAATTATTAGAGATGCTGTAGTGGGGGACTCTGGAAATTTTGACCACCTGGGGTTCTTTAACGTGCCCCTAAATCTATACATAGGGCCTCAAGCATCCTCGCCTCTATCAAAAATTTTGCTGCCGCGGCCTAGGATTCAATCCCCTGACCTGCGGGTCAGCAGCCGAGTGCCTCAGCCACTAGACCACTGTGTGGTGGGCACTATATGTAACCATTTAAAGGTAAACGTATAGAACAGAGATCTGTGTGGCTGGGACCGGAATCAATGGAGAAAATACAGCAACAAGATCGACGGGAAGAACAATGGTGGAGAGGGAGACAACCACGAAGAAAAAGTGCTAGCTTCGGAGCTGGCCAGAGAGACCCCTGAAGAAGAGACAGAATTGGTCTTGAAATGTAAGGCCAGCTTTTAATATTCAAAACTAAAGACTAAACATGGCTGGAGAGTGTTTATTTGCATGATATTTACTTCATAATTAATGCTCGAGATAGGGCTCGTTGGTACACATCCTTCTGTAATTTGCAGTGCAGAAACAAAGAACGAAACAGAAAAGAATTGGGATGAACAAAAGCAATGTATATGTGAGGTTTAACGTCTCAAAACCACCATATGATTATAAGAGACGCCATAGTGGAGGGCTCCGGAAATTTCGATCACCTGTGGTTGTTTACGCGCACCCAAATCTGAGCCCACGGGCCTACAGCTTTTTCGCCTCCGTCGTAAATGCAGCCGCCGCAGCCGGGATTCGATCTCGCAATCTGCGGGTCAGCAGCCGAGTACCTTAGCCACTAGACCACCGCAGCGGGGCATCTCATACTCTAAATCTGATAAATATCTTCGAAAGAAATCTGTCCAACATAGTGGAAGAATTCTAGAGGCTAAACAAGCACCAAACACAATTAAAGGTGGTTTTGACGTGCTCTTTTTTTTCTTTTTGAGCTGTATTAAAATGATTCTGACCTAAATTAGAAGCATTGAAGAGGATCAGAAATCATCCTTTTCATTGGTGGGAAAGAGCGACATTTCGTCTATTTTGATACATCCGCTCTTCTAGGGCCAATGCAGCTGACCCCCGAGAAAAAATGAACCAGCCTTGAAACACCAGGACAATCTTGAACTATGCCTGGTACCAGTTCAAGACCAAGAATTCTATATTATGTGGCATCCCTGTTTACTATACTGATGTTTGACTGTGTACAGTATGACTTTTCTTAATGTAGACCAGTAACTTTGTTAATTTAGCCCAGCAAACTGCACTTCGAAAGCTTGCGAAAAACCAAAACAAGGCAAGGTACCTTGTGCACTTGGTGAAGATTGCTAGGCACGCTGACATTGCGCGGAGGAGGTGGAGGACCCGTTGGCTTGAGCTGCGGCCCCGGAACCTCACCGTCCCGCGAGTCCGGAGCACCGAAGCTCTGCCTACGGGCCAAAGGAGGGGCGGCACCAGGTACTGCCAATCGGTTGCTGTGATGCGACGGTCCCATGGTGCCAAACTTTGAAGCCGCAACGCTCACTGCCGTGGTGACCACCGCGGGGCTCTTAGGTGGAGGTGGGGGCTTGACGGCAGGTGCACGCAGTGGACGCTGCTTGGCTCCTCCCCCGAGGCTCGACTGGGAGGCGGACCTTGTCACTCCCGGGGGTTTGCTTGGGAGAGGAGGACCCGTCCTGCTGCGGCCAGCCGCCGGGGCGGAGTCTGCTGCAGGGGCAATGGCGTTCAGGTTGGGCTTGTGGCTCGATGGGGGAGGGGCAGGAGGTGGGCCACGAGGGCTCACATCGGCTGGAAAGGGAGAGGGAGCCGCACGGCGCACAGGTGGCGTTTCACTGGGCAGCGGTGGCTGAGCGGCGGGCTTGTGCGAGCCACCCGCGGCAAGACTAGAAGAAAAAGCTTGTCGAGGACCAGAAGAATGCGCATTGCTGCCTGAAGCGAATTGCTGTCCTGTTCCTGCATCACAGACACAAACATGATGAATGACCTAATGCAGTAGATGGATTAGAGCATGCACCAATGATGCAAACTGCTGCAAACACGCGTCCATGTCCCACCAGAAAAAACCTACGCCCTGCTTTTATTATTGTGCTGCAAACACATGCCATGGTGATCTCCAAAACTGTTCGGAGGCTTTCAACTCTGTTCTGACAATTTGGGTGAGTGTCTGGCAGACGAAAGGTTTCTCATGTTTGCCCAGCCAAAAAAAGTTTGGGGAGAAAAATACGAGAAGTTGCACAATTTTTGATACATATTACACAGAGAAAAAAAGCTATTTACTCTGTTTATCTTTAATAGAGCACGTGCCTTGTGGCTGCATGTCTGCAATATAAAGTCTTTAAAGGGACCTACAACTGGTCAGAACGTGCAATTATATCGTAGTAGAAATGAAAAGAGCATGAAATATAGTGACATATTCCAGCATTCTTTTCACGTTGTGACTAGGATTTGCGTTTTCAAATCATGCTTAAAATTATCGAAAACCGTCTCATTGTGCAGCCTAGTGGAAGAGCCTTGAAGCTGGACTACAGAATATGAAGTCTATCACATTGCTGAACGTGGTTCGCATAGTCCGATGCTGTCGTGCGTGTGATCCCTCAAAATTAGAGTATGTATATTATTATCCAGCCTCGCTGAATTCTATGCTGCTTACGATGAAAAAGAGTAGCACAGCGAAAAAGCGTTACTGCCGTCGCGGCCACCAGTGGACCAAGTCGACGCATGCGCAGTGAACCACACCCTCGAACACGTAACTGCCCGCACGCTCAGCAGCATGTGAGCATACGACTTCATATTCGCTTCAGAAAGAAAAATTCCGATTACCAATGTTTCGTGGTGTTTTCCGCTTCACCATTCAGGGATCAGACTCACTGAGACTTCATATTCGCTTCAGAAAGAAAAATTCCGATTACCAATGTTTCGTGGTGTTTTCCGCTTCACCATTCAGGGATCAGACTCACTGACGGGCAAGATTTCCTTCGTGCTAAGAAAAATAGGCACCACAAAAAATGGTTGTTGGCGGTTCCTTTGAAGCCACTGTTTCAATCCACAGTTCGAACTAATCGCTCTTTTATTCTGTCACTGGGTGCAATGAACGCGTGAGAATAATTGAGACTTGCGTCATCCAGAGACAGGGTTCTATGTGTATAAGCCAGCCATTTGTACACCTCCATGATAAATAATTATCCTTATTTAACCCATCTTTCTAATATCACACTCATCATATCATAACAATGCGTGCATGAAATTATTATTTTGTTGTTTTTTCTTAGAAGTTGGTTTGCTTTACTGTCTTGGCTCATGTTGTACTTTTGGGTGTCAGTGCTGTCGACGCATGCGGGATTCACTGCGCAGTAGCGTCAGAAGTCAATGCTTGGCAGTTTAAGGGGTTTTTTTTTTTTTTTTTGTACTGTCACTGTACGAGAGTGATGCACATGACTGCTATGATTAAAGTTATTGTGAATTCATGTGTGGCTAAAAGTTAGAGCCTGCACTGTCTATGTACTTTTTGTCTCAGTGTCTAATGCACTGTTCATTCAAATTCATGCGTCTTTACCAACTTGCCACTGTTGCCAGCCTTTAAGCCTGCTCAGCTTCAGCAGCATCCTAAAGTATAAGTGTACGTATAACAGTTGGAGGGCACTTCAAAGACTGCCTGTTTTCTCTTTTTCCATGCTTGCAGACACAAATGTACCTCCACTAATTGATGCCGAGATCATAGATGCCGTGTTCGGCAATACAGTTTAGGGGGTCAGAAGGAGGGGGAGGAGAAGGAAGGGAAGAAATGAAAGGCAGGGAGGTCAACCAGACGCACGTCCGGTTTGCTACCCTGCACTGGGGGAAGGGGTGAGGGGATTAAAGGAGGATGCGAACAATGGCATAGACATGGGAGCGCCTTCTGCTGCTTCACAGTAGTACTGAATGCAGGAAAGGTGACTATCCGTAGCACAACCAGAAACTTTTTTTTTTTTTTGAGGAGGAGGAGGAGCAGAGGGTGATTCAGTAATGCTTTATAATATTTCATGCATGCATCTGTACCTGGCGTGTATATGCACAGGTAAAACTGAAAAAGTACAATGGGGAGTCGGTTGAACACCGCCCTGGCTATGCCAGTAACGACTATGGGCTTGCACAATGGTTGAATAAGTTCGAAATTCTGGAGTCCAGAAGAAGCTCGCAGAGCAGCCTTTTTTTTGCTGTTATCAAATAAATAAGCAGACAGTCACAGCCATTACTAAGAAGCTTGGATATCCTTTTACAAGCTTTCATGGTGTTGCAGACAGCCGGGATGCTATAGTTACACAACATTGATAATGTTTTGACTTTACTTGAGTTGCTGATGGTCAATTTTATTTGAGTTTTTTGCAGTCTGCTTCAATTCATTATAGCATGGGTTCACCGCATTTCACACGGTTCATGGCACTAAAAAAGTTGCGCGGACCTACGCTCTTGTTAAATGTTTATTTGGTGCCAGTCATGCCTAATTTCCAGTAGTTCAGGCCTTCCATACCAAGAGAGTGCGTGTGTTCTATTGCTTTCCCTCAGTAAATTTCACAATGAAAACCCAAGATATTGAAATACCTGGTCATGATATGCTACGTGTTCCCCAAATAGGAAACTTTTGCTATCACGGTGCTACATGGCTTCGTGCCTGTTCAAGAGCACTTGAATTGAGTGACGTCTAATTTGTGAGGTTTGATTATACCAGTCATGGCATTTTGAGGTAGGCAATCCCTGCACGTCAGGGAAGTGTCACAAAACTACAGCACATTGAACTGACCATGTGCTGCATTTCCTGTAGGTCGTAACCTTGGCATGCCTCCTGCAAACAGGCCTGCCAACCCGGGAGGGGCACCCAGCTTTCCAGAGCCATTTGATGACAATGATGATGACGAACCTCCTTTTTTGGCACCTACAGGGAAACAAAACGAAGAATGCTGCATAAGTACCACCAGAAGCTTTGTAATAGAGTTACTAGATACCGTAGGCAGCCTAGCCAAATTGTTGAATGGGTGAGCAGAGTCCCGAACAAACAAGCACTTTCTGGTAGTTCTTGTTTTTCAGTTTCACTTCATTAGCGATTACAGGTACTCTAGTAGAAATAGCCATATTAAAAGCTTGAGAGCTTTTTTAGGAGCTCCTTAACATGAAAAGTTGTCTATTTAAGAGTAAAGTGGTTATGAGAAGTGTGCAAATATTGAAATTTTATCTCAGATCGAATTTGAATATAATAGTGTCAAATAACGACCAAAAACATTGAATATCGAATGGAATATCCAATATTTTGTTTTGACGAATGTCTACAGAAATCAGAGACGCCATGGCATACAGACAGCTTTATTGCCCGCTTGCTTAAGAGGTTGTTCTCATTGTTGCATCTCTCACCTATGCCTCTATCATAGGTTTTATCACTTCATGCCTCGTGACAGCCAGCTAATTCAACTGGCTCGTCGTACTCCCCTGACAGGTTATCTGAACACTGTAATACCACCACAAGCCCACGACTACTTTCTGGAGTCGTTCTTCGTCAAAACTATTTTAGACTGTAATGACCATCCAGGAGAAGCTGCACTCATCTGTGATGCAAAGCGCTTTCGATTCACTACCAAGTGCATAGGCCAGTCTTTGTAACTGGTGTTTCTTGACTCATTTTTGTGAGCTATTCTTGTAAATTTATCACCATTGCCATCTCTTTGTTGTTTTTCTCCTTTTATTTGTATTTTATATTTTGATGTCCAACCCTCATGTAATGTTCTACTGCGGACCTTTGAGGTAACAATAAATATAATAATAATAATAATAGAATAATAATAATAATAATAATAATAATAATAAAGAAATCTAAGGGCTTACAAAAATGGAGCTTATTATCTGCCTAAATCTCCGAGCCTGCTTTACTCCACAAACATATTTGCACACACTTAAAGTCAACTGCCATGATGGATACTAAATTTCACATATTTAATGTAACGGTCACGTTGTCAAGCCTTTGAAATCCAGCCGACTACTTATATTTCTTGCAGTTTTTTCCCCACAGGTTTTCTTTATTTCCTTTTGACATGGTTGGCATGAACAAATATAGGTGTAACGAAAGCAAACCCAGTGTAGGAATTAAATTAAACCGTAGCACTGAAGACATGGATGAAGAAAGGTGACAGGAGCCGTCTTTAAAGTGCTATGGCCTTACTGACTGTGCTCACCATCAATTATAGGTGCACTGCGATCGTTGGTGATTGCTTTCTTCAACGCAGCGCCACCACGAATCTGTGAAAGCAGAGCAGATCGGTCCGGCGTGGCCTGCCATGTTCCCGAGCTTTGGCGGCCCCAGTCCCCCCATTGGGGGTGGGGGAGGTGGTGGTGGAGGCATGGCACTGGCTGTCACGCAACTAAAAACTCATGATATCTAATGCGTGCACCTGCAATAGAAGAAAGGCAGTGTAAATAAGTAGGCACAAAGTGGCTATACTGCTCACAGAATAATGTAATGAAACGACACAGCAATATACAGGTGCATATAATGGAACACTGGGCAAGTTGTTGGTATAGCTTCGTACCGGCTAACAGCGCAACAGACAGTAGACAAAAAAAATATCGCAGCACGTCCACCGAGTGGATGATAATCAGCGGGGCAAAGCTTTGGAGGGTTTTATTGGTAAACCGTGAATCGTCTGTCTGTCTGTCTATCCATCCGTCCATCCGTCTTTTTGTCTGTCCGTTCACCCATCTAGTGAACAAACGAAGTACCACCATCTCGCATCTTTTCATCATATATTCACCACATACAAGTACTGCCATCTAGCGGACATTCAAAGAACTAAATGAGAGGTGGCTACCTACAACTACATACTTCAAGGACGCACGACCCACGGCTTAAGGAGCATCGCTCCTAGAAGCAAAGGGAACAGACACAACACGGCATTAACAGCGCTGTCATGCTGTTAGCTAGTATGAAGCTAACCATCAAGCCCAGCAAATGACAACCAGTGGTCACTTGACCTCTTTTTGTTGTTTATAATTAATGTTGTTTATAAGTTTATAATTGTTAACAAATCTGAAGCAGAAGGCCAGTGCAAAGCCCCCTTGCGGGCTGTTCTCCTTTCTTGCATTTCTCTTTTGCCCAGCACCATGGCAAGACGAGGGCTATGCTGGATAAAAACAAAGAAGTTGTCCTAGATGGAAATATTTTATGGTGGAAATAAATTATGCAGTGCCTCTGCATAACGTCTAATGTTTACAACTGGCGACCATGATTGCATGTGGGGTTTGTTGATGTATCACATTAGCCACTGGCATGGTGGATCTCTGATAGGGCGACAGAATACAAAGCGAGTGTTTCAGAGCTCGTTTTGCAGACATTGGGTCGTCGGCGTTGGTTGTGATCGAAAAATCGTCATCTTTTGCGTGATCGAAAAATCGAGAAATATACATATAAAATAAATAATGAAAAATTCCGGGCTCGAGTGGGGATCGAACCAGGGTCGCCTGCGTGGCAACTGGGTGTTGTACTACACAGCCACATGTCTGCTTGTGAATACAGCGAAAATAACTTCCTCTGCTTGGAAATGTAGCGGAAGTAACACTCATGCTTTACAAACACACGTGCCCTATATACATGCTTCACAATGCAGCATGAAATATTACAGTAATAATGCATGGTACATGTGTACATTGCCATAGGGCATCAGAACATGTGGTTGTGATGTGAATTCATGGTTCAAAGCCCCCCACAAAAAGCACACACGTTACTGTGCCTAGGGCCATGCAGTGGGTGCATGGCAAGTTCAAAAAGATTTGATGGTCATATCATGCCCCTAGTGCTTGGGACAGGATATTGCTGTCATGGTCAACTCTTAAAAAGCAAGGCTTATAGATACCCCAATTTTTCATCTATTGTTAAGTACACTATGCTAATGGCATTTATTATTACATATAGTGGTGGCATGTGGTAGCTAGAATACCAAAACAAGCTGTGTAAGTGCGAAAATGTGTCACACCAACATGCAGCATGTAAGTGCTAACCCCACAATACATGGTCAGTTAAACCTTCAGCACAATCCACTATGATGGCAACACGTCACATTAACTTTTCACACTTCAAAGCTGTCATGCGTCGATACCAGCAATAATTTTTTAATGACACGTTCACTTAACAGGTCTACATCAAGCACTTTCTGCTGGTGTGGCACATTCAAGCTAAGTTAGTTTGAAAGGGCATTCTGTCTAGTTGTCCTTCTAGTCGGCACTCTACTTCGTTGAAGTTGTGCTGATCATAGTTCATAAATGGTGATTGGTATTGAGGTGACACACGACCTGACCTGCAATCGTACGATTTCAGCGGAATTTTGAAGTTTTCCTTTCTTTTGTCCACTGTTACCCGCCTATCACAGTACTTCCTTGACTTATGTGAAACAGAAAATTACCAGTGGTTTAAGGCATATCTAATGTCCACTTTAGTGCGCCACGGCACCATATTGTCAGGAACTTACCTGTTCGAAACTCCTTCGGCAAGCGAGCAATCTTCGCCCTCGATTACGACACACAGTGACGCGCAAGACGGTAGTAGCTGTAGCCAGAACCAAAACGATAACTTAAAATAGCAGCACAGACCAGTGAGAAGCCAGACAAAGTAGAAAAATCGCTAGCAGCCAATCATGTCATACGTACGAATGGTCGCAATACTCCGGCCTTTCCGGAAGCGGTGGGAAACAGTCAAGGTGCTCGGGCGATACGAGGACACGCAGGGAGTGTTGCCGGAGCAATGTTTACTCGGCGTTATTGCCCCTACCGCCGTTAACTCGACGCAGATAAAGAAAGGAGCTGACACCTGCTGAACGTTCGGGCTATCGCTCAAGTTCATTACGTGACCGCGAAAGAAAACAACAGGAAGTGAAACAAGAACACGTACATGACGCGATTAACAGGTTTACCTGTGGGCGCGTTACTCGTATTTGCGGCCGCTTACGAGATGCTCTGACAAGTGAGCGACGTCTCGAAGAGGCTGTCTCTGCGTCAACGACGCGACAGCGAAGCTTTTCGCAATTTCGCGCTATTAGGCCGGACTGACCCCTTCGCGACGCACTAGATCACGAAAACATGTCACGTATATACATCCGGCATGCGAAGCCGTACACATTCCGCCGGCTTCACTAGGTACAGGCGATCGTATATCCCCACGTCACCGCACCTATGGACAACCTCCGAACAACTCTCGCTCGGTGTCAAACGGCGACGATCACGAATGTCGCGGTGTCGCCTTTGAAAAACCCCGTAACGTTCAACTCACTGGGTGCGCACGGACGAACTCATCCGTGCGTGCTCGCGGTTTATGTTAGCGCTTAAAAGCTAAGCGTTGGGTACTTAAACTCAATTCGTAGGGTACTTGGTGGAACGAGTGACGCTTGAACGTTCGTAGCGGATGTGAACTTACCTCATTGTTATGTCATTTCGGCCGCGATGAGTCGGTGGTGACAAACTTTCCACGAAAAAGGAAAACACCCCGATGATAAAATGGCCGCTTACGCCTACTAAAGCTGGGTCACACGGCGTCACGGTCAAACGGATGAAAAAACCGTCATAGTGTGGTTTGGCTTTGGCGTTACTTCAGGAAAAATAGAAGCATTAACCTTCTCGTGAGTAACACAAACATATGCGAGACACAGTTGTTTATAATTAATGTTAACAAATCTGAAGCAGAAGGCCAGTGCAAAGCCCCCTTGTGGGCTGTTCCCCTTTCTTGCATTCTAAAAAAATTGACCATGTTAGTATTGACAAATAATAATTACTTTATGGTCTGTGAACCAAACTCGCGTTATGCTATAATAAATATTTTATAGCTTGCTTCTAAAACAAACACGTTTTGACGCTTTTAAAAAAAGGAGCATTTAGGACGTACTTTTATCAAAAACACCAACTTTTTATATTGTAAAAACGTACATTTATTATTTTTTTTAATTTTTAGGTTATTGTTGAATAAATAAATAATGTTGTTTGATTTTAGTCGACTGACAGCGCTAAAACTCTGAAAACAGAAGTCAAAAACAAGGTCAAGACAAAAACGCAGCCGAAACAGTCCAATCCTTTGGCCAGAAATTGTCGCAAAAAATAATAACAACAAATAGCCGTGTGTAGTAGTTTCGTTGTGTATCGTGCTTTCCGTGAGCCCAAGCAGCGGTATTTTGTGAAAGAACAGCTCGAACAGGGCGGACAGCGGCTGCCTAAAAACCGCGACTCGTGAGCAATCGCCATCCAGGTTTTCCATTCCAACTTCTGCTACAGAACGATTGTTAAACCACGCGGCGTCACCATGGAAGACGGCGAAGGATCGGCGGCGGCCAAATCCCCGCAAATCACCGACAGTTCCTTTCGAAAGTCGTTGTACGCGCTGGAACAGTGGCCCAGCGCAATCGAGTCGCTCCGCAATCAGAACCAGTCGCCGGAATTCGCCAACATGATCGGCAATCTGATAGACCGGACTCTCTCGGAACTCGAAGTGGTTTCCTCTCTCGTGGACAAGCAGTCTAAGAAGCAGGAACTTCAAGGCGGCGACAAGGGTACCGAGACAGCGCCGAACCCTGGGCCGAGTGCCGAGAAAGGAGAGGAAGCCGGTCATGAAAGCAGCGCACCTGCCGAGAACCCGAAAAGGCCGTGTACCGAAGAGGCCGCCCCACAGCAGGAGGAGGTTCCCAAACCACCGGTTGTGAAGAAAGCGCGCATGAAGTACACTCCCTTGAGAAAGCCCAGTGTCTAAAGTGAACTGCCGTGTTGTTGCACCGATTTCCGGCTTTGTTTTATTTGTTCACGACCCAACGTGCAGTTATTCCTCTCTGCTGTACGTGGTAATGTCTTAGTCGACACAAGCCTGCCGTCGACGAGTGCCTTTATTTTGTTCCTAATTGGCCAATAGATTCTTGCTTCGCAATACTCACCGTTTACATTACCTGCTCGTTTACTCGTTTGGTCATACGCATCTGCCCATCAGCTGCATTACATCGATTCACCTCCCGCTTTTTTCCCATAGCCTTATTTGTATATTAGCCGTGTTTCATGCTTTCATTTGTGCCGACATTACAACTAATGATCGAAGTGTATATATTTTTGGTTGCAGTATACTGTTCTGGATATTTGAAGTGTACAGCTACCTTGCATTTTCCGGCCTTCACGGTTCGTACAATTGCAGGCTTGGTCCAATGCACAAAATGAAAAACAATTTGTTTGCTTGGTTATTCATAGTACAATACATCTTACACGGTGCTGCACAGGCTGTGTTTTATAAAAGTCTAATATGTGTTTGGTGATTCTTGAAATCTTGCGTTCGAAGTGGCATCACGGAACAAAAACATTTTCACTGGTATGTCTTGCCTGAGCACACAATAACAGCATCTTCTGATTGGTATTTCGAAAGAACACTTTTCTGTCTACTCTTGGTAAGCTTTATGGGACTTTGTTGAGTATATTATGTCACTCAGGATTTCTTAGAGTGCTGCTTTCACTTTTTACCATCATTCCAAGCCCTGCAGGTGTGCAGGTGCTTTTTGTTGTGTGAATTTTATTGAAACATTCAGATTTTATGTTTTCGACTTGATGCAAGTGTTCTTTTGTCATGCAGACATGGCAGTGCATTGTGACTGAAAGCAACACAGCTGCACTTCAGTTTCTATCTCTAAATGGCACAGTGACATGGTCTAGACTGGTGATACTGAATTTTCCAGCTAAAGGTGGCATGACAGTTGCTTCAGAGGTATCACCACAGTATACATATGAGACGCCAAAAGATCTTCCTGTTTCCTGTTACAGACAAGCTGTTTGTTTTGGAAAGTCATGTGCATCACTTTGCTTACAAGCTCTAGACAGAAATATTTTGATAGTTTTCAGGAATAAAGAGAACCTTATGTTAATTAAGTGGCACAACATTATGAACCCGAGCTGAAACAAAAATATGAATGATCCTGAACTGTCACTTACATATACAAGTGCACAGCTGGGGCATTTTATGTGCTTGCCTATGCATGTAATGCATGAATAGAGAAGAGACCTCAAGCACATAGTAATATCTTGTCAATTTGAGTAAAGAGTACATGTTCTTGACCTATGCAAACAACATGGAACAAGACCACATAGTAAAATGTCGATTGAATAGTTATAGTTTATCTTGCTTGTGTAACTAACTACTGACTTTTGTAGCTGTTTAGGGGCTCCTCGGACTTATTTAGTTGAGAAGTTGTATTGATATGAATGGGGCAGTAGTTCATTTCATTACTTCATTAACTGGAAGTTGGCACCATTGAAGTCATGTAATTAAGCATCGCCATAATGACAAGCAAGGTAATAGAAGGAAATCAGCTTGTACAACTCGTATTCATTCACCTCTGCTCAGAGATGAGGTGTGTGAACTAAACAAAATGTAGGGAGATTCAACGAACGTGTTTAAATGCTTGGAAACTGAAGCTTTAGGTAGGCAGTTCATATTATAACAGCAGAGAGTGGCCTCCTTTCACCTTACGTAGCATGCACAGTAACGCAATGTTTATGCCTTTTCAGCAAAAGAGCTGCAAGCATAACCTTGTGTGATGTTTATGTGTGTGCGTGGCAGTGCTCACAAGCTATATTGAACACCAAATCATATAGATAATGCATCATATAAGACAATATCCCGAAAATGAAAGCTTGAAATGTCTAATTTTTGTTTAGCAAGAAGCGGTGGCTGTTGCGTACACAGAGTATACAGCAGCTGCATTTGAGGACCCTGTACTTCTTGACTTGATTCACAGTGACCTAGATGTCCACTCTGCAGCATTGGAATAGAGCAGCCTCACGTTCAATAACAAAACCATGTAACTAAATTAATTCGTTTAATATACTACACTACTGTACACAGCGGTTGACATGCATTGTGCATAATTTAGTTTTATTGCCAAGGATATCAGCACTCGAACTTTTTGGGCATTTTCACTGCTAGTGTAGTCGTGCTTTCTGGTTCGGGAGCCATGCAGTTTCATACGATATCGGGAACGCATGCACAGCTCCCACTTGGAGCCGTGTTGCGTTTAATCCCCAGAGACACAAAGCGCGTTCGACTGCAACGAAAAAGTCAAATCGATGCATCGTGAAAGTTTTGCAAGATTGTCTCTGTGGCGGGGCCCTCCACTGCTGGGAGAAGGAAAACTCTTCATCTTTTCTTCTGGTGTCCTCCATGCTAGCGTTTTGCCTGCCATGGTCGTCTAGTACCCAGACGCCGTGGGATCAAGTCCCAGCCTCCGCAGCCGCATCATCAATGGAGGTGAAAATAGGGAGTTTTAGTATAGGGTATGCTAAGTTTTGCTTTAGTAGTTGTCGCTATCAAGCATGCATCCTCTTGCGGGCCCCCTTAAAGTGACATAAATAGCAGGCGACCACAACGGGCCGGTGTACTTACATTGATTGATGGTCTAAATTTCCTCGAGCTCTCCACTGCTGCATCAATGCATGCGATGCAATTCGGGGTGTTGTAGTTAAATGGGCTCCTTGGTAATGAATGTAAACTGACTCGTCAAACCAAGAACTGTAAAGACGATCATAAATGATCCTTTGTGAATAGTTTGTGTGGTGTATGCATTGCCTCTTGAGAATTAAAATAGGAAAGCTTTAAAACTCTCTTACGTACAGTGATGCTGCATCCAAGGTGCTGTAATCGTCGGTCATTGCATATTGCTAATTTCAGTTGCCACAGGGCACGACAGTAGCTTACACGGCCGAGTGGCACACTCGCGAGGGTATATATTTGAGTGTACGCATTTGCAACATTCGGTCATGTTAACAGAAGGGCAGGAGCGGATACAGGATTTGTCTGTAGTAAGGCTGGGTCAGTTGTTTATGGGAAAACCTGATTGGGCCTCTCAATATGAAAATATTGTGCAATAAGATCAAAGCATTCGTTTTCGAGGAAATTTCACAAAAATGTTCTTCTTAACTTTGACAACTGCTGCTTCAACAACTTTTGACGAGCGGCTGTTAAAGTTTTCACACAGACGACAATTGAGGCCCTTCAGTTGCGAATTACGATGCGTTGGCAGAAACGTGTCAAATTCGCATGGCACAATTCTTGGGCCCTCAGTGTAACATTCCAAGTAACAAAATGAAGGAAAGCATTGTGTCACCGAGTTTTAGAATTAAGTTCATGAGTGTGTAACTAATGATCAAATTATTCTGCCACCAGTCAGCTTTAGTACTTCCATAAAAGGAATCCGCTATTAGGCGCGAAATACACACACAGTTTTTTTTTTTGACTGCATTTGTTTTGAGCGAAAAAAAATACTTTTCACGTTGGTCTTGGAATGCGTCACGCCGAACAATCGTCGAACATGGTAATACATCCAGGAAAGTCATCCTCTGCAGCAATACGCAGCACAATGATGTTAAATATTCGCGAGTTGTCCACTCGGGAGGCCTGCTTGAATGTGCGCACTAAGTTTCAAGTCATTTGATCGAACACGCGGTGCGTGACGTGCCATTGAAGTGTGCGTCTCCATTTGTGCACACCATGACTGAAAGGATAAGGTCGATGTAGACCTTTCGTCGTAGCCCCCTCCCCTGCAGCGCTTGGATTCTTTTTTTTTTTTTTTTCATCTGTCAGGCTGGACGATTCCAATCGGCTATTCTTCTACTGGTGATTCTATCGCATTTTCAAATCACAGGAGAATTTCATATCTCGTCCTTTTTTTCTTCTCAGGGTAACAGGTGCGAGAAATAGATTAAAACGCTGCTTCGCGTACGGTAGCTTGCACATGCAAGTTGCAAAGGAAGTCGCACTCTGCGCTACCCTAAAGGGACCGATGTTCGGCAGTTGGTGTTAAAGAGGGTATTCCCTCTCCCACACCCGGCCTTGTGTAGGGCGCAGGCAGTCACCCATAGACTATTGTAAGCCAATGAGTATCCTAACACTGCGGTTCCTCACGCCATCTACCCTGAACGGTATCCAAGTGCGGATTGCCCCGCTTGTGGACTGTTAGCAACATTCAACCATGTGTTGTGGGAATGTGAAGCCATCGGCCCCGCCCTCAGCGAGGACGGGTGGGCTGCGCTCTTACGCAGCCCCGAACTTAAGGATCAAACCCTGGCCGTCCAGTGTGCCCGTGAAGGCGCCGCCAAGCTCGGCTTGGCGGTCACTACCTGGGATTAGCCGGGTGGCGCGGGGTCTCCCCTGCGTCTTCTCAGGACCAAAATAAAGTTTGAATCAATCAATCAATCAGACGACGATTGAGGCAATGATCACTTTGCGACAGTGTGTTGTCTTTCCTCTTTTTCCATGCAAGTAAGTGAACTTTCAATGCAACGTATAACACGGGTGAATTAGATTTGAAGGCTTTGTTTTAAGGAACATCTAGTTGCGCAGGCATATATATTCCCTTTCCGCGCAAAGCCTCGCTGGCTCCATTGGCTGTATGGCGGCTGCCGATGGGCATACAAACTTGTATAAACTTAGTGTATCTGTATATGCAGTAACTCTATAGAAACTATATGGCCATTGGCTCAGTCTTACTTGGTTATACATGATAGCGCGCGCCACTGAGCGCGATGTTTGCTCGCTATTACCTAAGACCTTGGCACACCACGGAGGCTGCATGCATGCATGACTCATAACCCAGCCATTTCGACCAGCGCCTCTCTCTATCTCTCTCTTTTAACAAATAAAAAAAATGGAGGAGGCGTCGTTTCGGCTGTCGCGGTGAGCAGTGAGTGGGAAGAGAGTTTAGGAAACACGTTAATTCTTGCAACCCTCAAGGTGACACGGCGCCTGGGGAAAGGAAAGCGAAAGAGCGCAATGGGAAGCTGCAACGCTTTCTACCGTG